CCGTGTGCTGCACCCGCCACCCCATGCTACCGGCCCCGTGTGCTGCAACCGCCACCCATCCGCTACCGGCGCCCCCCGGTGCTGCACCCGTCCACCCCATGTACCGTGTGCTGCACCCGCCACCCCATGCCTACGCAGCGGCGTGCCGTGTGCTGCCCCACCCGCCACCCCAATGCCTACCGTGTTTCTCGCACCCGCCACCGCCATGCCACGGCCACCCGTCTGTGCTGTACGGCAGCGGGGCTGCTTCAATAATTCACGAGATCTCTCTCTCTACTCAGGTTAAAAAAACGGCGAATGGCGGAAATATCCTTCAAGAGATGTGACGCTATGACCTACTGCCCGATCTGGCCTCTTCACATCCACCGTCTGCACCGGGCAGGTCCCGACACCCCCGCACTCACTCGCTCCACGCACGCCTGAATCGTTGCTGACCCTGTGCGTGCCTCTTCCCCGATGCGCCGCGTGCCGGGCTCCCGTGCCCGTGCGTGTTGTATGCGTGTGAGCGTCGACGTCCCCAGCGGGCTCTCGGCACCTGTTGGTGTGTGCTGGGCGTGTGTATGTGGTACTGTGTCGGTGGGCCCCCCCGACCTTCTTACCGGCGCGCCGACGAGCGCTTGCGTTGCGTTGCGTGCTGGCCTGTGCATGGCCTCACAAGTAGCACTCTATATTCATTAAGTACATTAATTCATATATTAATCAAAATCAATAGACAGTTAGACACCATGACCCTTCCACCTTGCGCTCTGTATCAATATAAACACCCCGACAGCCACGTAATTCTCTGGCAGCTTGTAAGCCCGTTTATAGCTTACAGTTGCTGCGGCAGTTCTGCCGCCTTGTCAGATCGTAAATAATCGGCCAGCCAGAACATTCCGTGCACTCGACTACAGGACTATCCCTACTTCCTAGTCCTAGTCCTAGTTCACTTGAACCGCCCACCGAGGCATGCTTACGACAAAAGATTTTTTGCTTCTTTTTTGCGTGCGACTAGCGGTAGCCGTTCTATGACGTCCCTGTTTTCGTGCACTCACGCTTTTTTCGCATTCAGAAATTTCTCGGTCTCTCTGTTAATACTAATAATGTATGTCGTAAACAGTTGCCAATATCGCCATATCATATGAACGAGCACGAGCGGCAGCAATTGCGTCAGGCAAACCGTAGGCGATAGGCTAGCTGGCCCAGAGAAGTTATCAGACAAACAGGAACGACGTTCTTACTACTATGACTACTACTAGTTACCGTAGCTCTAGAGTGAGTATAGTGTAGTAGTACAATGATTGCTAAACTCACGCCTTCGAATTGTGGATGTACAAAACACTACACTACTAGGAAATATTCCTAATAACTATGATATGATCAAACAAAAACTGAATTTGAACATCACTGCACCTTACGTTTGTCCGCTCTAACCTAATTGAAAGAATAAGCAGGAGTTTGTCTCGGCGAATTAAGTGCGAATAGACGACGATCGGCGGACAGTACCATTGGCCGCAGAGATGCAGAAGCTACTAGGCCTTCGGGATGCGACGCGCTGTTGGAAACACGCGTTGCAAGGCCTTCTCACTCACTCGGTTTCAATGTTACGGCCAGGCATTGCGCCGGATTGCTGCCCAGAATCGATCGCCGGATGCAATGTATGGCGCCATGCAACGGGCCAAAATTATCATAACGTCGAACACGATGAGAAATCTCAATCTAAAACGCTTATAAAAACGGTTTATTATAAGAAAACTATCGGCAAAACAATCAACAATTGAATGTACAACATTTATCGTCACGCCTTATTCGAAAAATATTCAACAGTTATTGTATTTGCATCAATTCCATAATGTCAGGAAATAAATAACTAGATGAAACATATACATCTATGGTACGAGTACATGCATACGAGTATGTTCATAATCACAAATTATTGCCACGTAAGACCCTGCATGTGATACTACTCTTTAAGAACATGTATGCTTTCAGCAATACTCACAACAAACATAATCAAGGAACAGTATATATATGTGCTAATAATCATTGGTTTATTGTTGCCAGAAACGAACTTCAGTGTAGACAGTAATAAAAACTCTCTCTCTCCCTTCTCTCCACCTCTCCCCCTCTCTCTCTCACCTCTCTCTTTCTTCAGTAAACTGATCTGTGAACACACATCGCTCTGCACTTGACCCCCCAATCCCGCATCCGCGCGTCCGCGTCATTCGCCGCGGTGTAGCTGCATGTAGGTGGCGCCGCGGCACGCACGACGCTCGGCGGACGTGCGGACCTGTGCGGAAATGTTCACAGTGAGACCCGACGAAGCAGCGTACTCACGCGGGAGCTGCGATGACACCAGAGGAGCTCGTGCATGCCAGGCGCCATCATGCGCCACGTTGCTGTGGATGCCATACTGCTTCGTTACAACTACACTTAGAAAAGGGTCGAAAAAACTGCTGCATGTTAATTGTCGCTATGTAACAATACTGCCGACAGATGCAAATGTCACTATCATCGCATAAAAAACAATGTATATATATATATGTATATATATATATATATATATATATATATATATATATATATTATATATAGGTGTACAGTGACCATTGTTATTCAGGCACCCTAGGGACCGGCAGTTTTGCCAGACCAGCAATTTTTCCGGACCATCAGAGGTCTATACGTGGTAAGCTTATATACTTCCCTAGACAACTCCTATCCATTAGCTACATGCTAACTCTTAAGCACCCTTAGCGGCTAGAAACCAATAGAGATGTACCTGTATAATATTATATCATAAACTAATATAAATGTAAATAAAAAAACAGTTACAGGTACGGGTTACGTTTAATGTTCACGTACATGACGTGAGTACTATGTAAAATTGTCTGAATCATCAAATTCGGTGGTCAACTTGTGTATATAATGTATATCCATACTTGCAATCAATATTAACTTTATACTTTGCGATCGCTGCATATAGGTGGCGGCACTTGCCCAGACATTAATAAAATTAGTGGCATATAGAACAACGACATACCTCCCAGGCATGAAATAATCGAGAAATATATCAACTCGCAGCGGTCATCGAAGTAAAAGCTCAGCTACGGCACAATCGCAATCGAAAACATGTCCAATAAGAACCCTGTCACGACGCGCCAATTTGCAAAAGAAAAACCAACTCCGGAATCTAATAACAAACTAAAGACGAAAAATTGAACGACGACCGTCTACAGAACAGAGACAAAGCCGACAGCCAGGTGACGAGTCGCCTAGACTGCCGCCGCTCCGCCGTAACCAACATCGACGCTCGACCCGCAACGAACAAACAACGGAATGTCCGACCGCCGACGGGGGGGCGAGCGCGTCATGATCCGTCGCCGCGACGACAGTCCGACGTCCTACTCCTCCTTCTTCTTCGCGACACCATTGGCGACCACCTCCTCCTCCTCCTCCTCCTCCTCCTCCTTCTTCTCGGCCTTCTCTCCGGGACACTTCTCCGCGGGGCCCGACGAGAAGCAGTGAGCGAGACGCGCGCACGCCAGGTGGCAGGTGAGGTCGAGGAAGAGGCAGCGATCGAGGACGGCAGAGGCGGTGGCGAGGCCTGCGTTCAGCGCTCCCACGACGCCGCACGTAAACACGTCCTGACCTGCAACGATGTGTCGGGGGTGGCGAGGGGAGAGGGGCGGGGCGGGGCGGGGAGGGGTGATGAGCGATCGTGTCGTGATGAGAGCCGTGATAGAACGAATGTACACACATCGTTCACTTATCTTCACATGCCATGCTCTCGCGCTCCCCTCTCTCTCTCACTCTCTCATGTGCTTTGTCTTTTTCTGTCTCTCTCTCTCTCTCTCTCTCTCTCTCTCTCTCTCTCTCTCTCTCTCCTCTCTCTCTCTCTCTCTCTCTCTCTCTCTCTCTCTCCTCTCTCTCTCTCTCTCTCGCCTCTCCTCTCTTCTCGCTACCCATACGTTTCTCTCTTCTCTCTCTCTCTCTCTCTCTCTCTCTCTCTCTCTCTCTCTCTCTCGCTCTCTCTCTCTCCTCTCTCTCGTTTCTTTCATGACCCATACTCTAATCTCTCTCTACCTTCTCTCTCCCCCTCCTCCCTCTCTCTCTTCCTCACCCCCTCCCTAACGTAAAAGCGCTAACGTTCAGCCCTTCCTCACCTGTCATGTACAGTCCCGGTATCTTCGTCTCCGGCCGCAGCATGAGGCAGGCGTCCATCTTGAATCGCTCGAGGTGGTGGTCGAGCATGTAGATCTCTCCGCGGCTGTAGCCAACGTAGTAGTTCTGCGACACAGGCGAGCCGACCTCCAGGAAATCCAGCTGCGAGAGAGAGAGAGAGAGAGAGAGAGACAGCAGACGCCTTAGCGATGTCGATTACGGTGCCATCTACTGGCAGATAACGGTGGCTTTACGCGCTTTTTTGCAAGTCCCGTCTAGATTAGTTAGGTAGATTAGATGGGTCCCGTCTAGGTCCCGTCTAGATTTACGCTTTGTCTAGTGTTGTACGATGTACTATTGTCGTCTGCAGCCAGAAAATCTTGTTTTTAGTGTTTCCAAAAAAAATTGCTAGCAGTATCATCTGCTGCCAAAAAAACCTTTAACTTTTGATGCGAAAAAAACCCAGTACGAGGCGAAACCACAAAGTTCAGGTGCGATATTCACCATTATCTCGTTAACGCACCTTGCCCTCCAGGTGAGGGTAGAGCTCGTAGAGTCGTCGCAGCAGGTGTTGCCCCATCGCCATCTTGATTGTGTCGTAGTCGTCGCCGCGATTCTTCACTCGCTCGGCGTCCCACTGCGCGAACCACTCGTAGTTGCACAGGGTGATGAGCGTCGCTGTAGACTTACCTGCGTGTTTGCGAAGGCGTTTTTATTACATTTTTTTCCCATGGGGGCACGGGACACACGTTGCGTTCAGTTTAATCAGAGATTTTCTATCGGCACCACGGCAAGTTGAAACCCACAATATAGCAAAATCCTCTTTTCAAAGAAGGGTTAACGAAGCTTGCAAGATTTGCTTTGTAAAATATTTTTTTCATGTGGGCCAAACAGGGATGCATATACACGAAATCGAGTTCATGGGACACCAACCGACACACATTTTTCAGGAGTAACACGACACCATGGCGCTTTCCATCAATGCTGTGGTGAAACTCGAACCGTAAGTACAGGTATGGGATTACTACAGCTTCAACCGCAGGTGTGTAATCACTGCAGCTTCATGCACAGGTATGTATTCCTACAGGTGCATGTACTAGTACAGGTAGTTACACAGGTGTGAGTTATGATGCAGGTAGATCTATAGGTGTACGTAACAACACAGGTACATCTAGTATTATTCTACAGGTGCGATGGGGGGCGGCGCGTACCTGGATGTCTCTCGTTGTATGTCGAGTCCTTCGCGGAAGGGAAGGAGAGAAACAGCAGAGGAATGGGGGATTCGGCCGCCTCATCCTGGCTCAGCTTCAGGTACTTCTCAAGTTCGCCGTCAATGTCGGACGAGTCGGGGAAGTACCTGCAACGATGTTTAACAAGCGATGACGCGCGCAGCCTCACCTGTGCTAACGATCACCTCCGCAGAGAGGATGCCTGTATTGTATGCAAAAGGTTGAAAGCTTGTTTCGTCGCTCAATGACGTCACAGTGTCGACTGTACAAAATTTAATTAATAAAAAAGAAAGAAATAGGGTTAGGGCTATGGTTAGGGTTAGGGTTAGTGTTAGGGTTAGGGTCACAATGCACCTTAAAACAGGAGTTTGAGTCCGTACGGACGTGACGACACTGTGACGTCATTGAGCGACTAAACAAGCTTTCAACCTCTTGCGTATTGTATACAGGACACTCTGGAGTGGCTGCTATACACAGGTTTCAATTAATACTCAACACTTGCCCCCTCCCACCAGTGACCCCTGGCAAGACTAGTGCTCACTCGTACCACGTGTTCTGTGCGGGCAGATTCAACTCCTCCTTAGTTCCGGTAAAGCCAGCAAAAGCCTGCAGGCATGCGTGTCCAGGTCTGATGGCGGGGTGGGGTGTCAGGTAACCTACACGGACACAACAACAGTTATGCAGATGATATTCATCTCAAGTCTCGAGTAAAACCATGTGCTGAATCTCCATTCATCATAGCTAACAGATCTGCATTAGACTAATCAAAACATGAATCGAATTCTTCTCGGAACAGACAAAAGTTATAACAATAGAATAGAAAGAGCTTATAGTACCTACATAATAATAGGAATTGTTAGCTCTTGATAATAATTATATGTATTAACTTAATATAAAATTAATGTAACACTTAATATGTTATACTTATCATACTTTATATTTATCATAACGAAATGGCATAATTATTTAATACATTCTTAATATAATAGCGTCGAACAGAAAAGCACCGATTATCTTTATTTCTCGACCACTTACCAGATTTCTCAGCGATCTCTCTCGGCAGCAATCGCTCGAACGTGACGGTGACGCCAGCGTTGGAGATGATGATAGGAGCATGGATGTCCACGTAGTCCTCCCCCTTCTTCACTCTCACACCTGCCAATGAGCAGCCCAATACATTACTGCTGCTGCCACTGCTGGTGGTGGTGCTGCTGCTGCTACTGCTGCTGCTGATGGTGCTGCTACTGCTGTTGATGGTGCTGCTGCTGCTACTGCTGCTACTGCCGATGCTGCTACTGCTGCTGCTGATGGTGATGCTGCTGCTGCTACTGCTGCTGCTGCTGCTACTGCTGTTGATGGTGCTGCTGCTGCTGCTGCTACTGCTGCTACTACTGTGGTTGCTACTGCTGCTGCTATTGCTACTGCTTTTACTGCTACTGAGTCTTAACTGCTAGTCTCACCGGTCGCGTGGCCTTGCTCGTTAGTGAGGATCTGGGACACCGGCGCCCGCACCAGCACCCTTCCCCCTGCCGACTCCACCGTCGGGATCAAGTGGAAGGCCAGCTCACTGGCGCCCCCTCGTGGGTAGTAGCCTCCGTCGCTGAGGAAGTGTTGCAGAAGGAGAAGCTGCATCCCGAAGCTAGAATCGCGGGGGGAGGCACCTAGACAACGGGGAAGGAAACGCCGCATTAGAGGCACCAGCGCGACGGCCACGGTGACATATGGCAGTTCGTAGCTTTACTGCGTGCATGACGTTCGCATACACCCCGCGTAGAGATCGGCAGTGACCGCGGCACTTTATCGCTAGCGTCAACAAGGTCGGTAGTTTGGACAGCGACGCCCCCCAAACGACGAACGGTCGAAGAAAACAGAATCGGCAGACGTCGTCGCGAGCGCGGATCACTCTTCGCGACGAAAGTCGAGCGAGAACGAGCGTTACGATCGATGATCCCGTTTATCGTCCCGCATTTAAGATGCGCGGCCGAGCTTTCTCTCCGGACGAAAATTGCCGGTCCCAACGCGTCACGTCGCGGAATCGTGCGCCGATGCGCTCCGCCGCGCTCCGCCGCGAGCCGACGTCTTTACGATCCCGCATCCCGCAAATTAGATTTCGCGTCGTTAATTTCGGTTAGTAGTGAGTGCTCTTCCACTGCCGGAGCGATGGTGTGGCATGTGCTGTATACCAGTGTTAGCAGAGGATGTGTGGTGAGTGTTTCAGTGGTGCGACGGCGCGGCACGGGTGCAAGTGCGAGTTGGAGAGTGGAGAGGCGACATATCGTGCAGACCCAACAAATTCCAGTTTTTCTTATAAAGTGGAGAACCCAATCGATTTGTCGCATTCATTGAGGAAGGATACATTTTCGCATGTGGATTCTCGAAACCCGTACGTCTGTGTGGTATCAGTGTTTTGGTTTATTTTCCATTACCACTGCCGCCGCCACCTGCTGTGGGGGGAGGGGCACTTTCCATCCTTCTCGCTATAAATACCCCAAACCCTACACCATAATTGCCTCCCACCACCCACCCACAACCTCCAACCATCCTACCTGCTACAACAGTCCCCCCCCACCCCCTCCCACCCACCGAACTGAAACCACAACCGCTCGTTTTAACAGACGAGGTTTTGCCGCTGCCGCTGCCGCCGCCGCGCGCGGTCAATCAATATATCTGCCTCGCGTGCGCGCCGCGAACAATTCACTCTCCATCCCGCTTAGCTTCAGTATTCTCCCCACGGTGGTGCGGAAGCGGTCGAAGTTATTATACAGCTATCTGCAGAGTAAATAAAAAAACACAGACACACGCACACCGACCTACTTCTACCGTCTACACACACGAGTCTACGCACATTACACCGGCCACTATAAGCATGACAGCAAGCGAGCGCTAGTACGTATCGCATCCCAGTGATGAAAACCTCTCCTGCCCCCACCCAAAAAAGCATTAGCCACGTGAGCTCAATTAAGTAAAAATATATAAGGGTCCAGCTCAAGATTTAGGGACCCAGTATATCGCAAGAAAGGGCCAAAGTTTGGGATTAATGTTCATGGAAATTGACACTAAAATGATGCTCTATTATGTATTATGAGTAAGAAGATCCAAAGAAGTCTTGCATCGTCTGCAATAATGCAATAAAATATTTTCTTAGCGGCTCTTTGTAAGGTAAGCCTTCCAAGTATGGATTAAATTAGTATTTTCCATGCTAATAGCCAAAAGATATATAGGGATCCTAGGAAACGTTAAGTGAACTGTATTGGCTTAGTCACAGCACTCAAACCGTAGTAGTGATGACGCCACTGACTACGGAACGTTTACCTATACCAAACAAACTCTCAAATTCTGAACGACCACGTGACGAAATTCGGGAGGGGGGTCCAAGATGACTTTTACTCGCCTCGTGCGACCGGGCGAGCGCTAATTTTCATCACTGCGTTCGCGGCATGCCGACGAAACTACGAACCACAAGCGTCGGCTTCGCTATGCTGCAGCATTATGCACGCACGGGAAACCAAGCGTCTGCCTACTAGCACACTCCATATACACATCATGTACAGCAGCAGGTACAAGCATGCATCATTGAGAGGATAGCCGCTCTAGCAAATTACATTAGGGACGACGCATCAGCGCCGCCGCATTCTATGAATGCCGACGTATAATCGTCTGCCTAACGAGAAGGTGAGGGAGACGAGGAGCAAGTGTCAGACGCTGGCATTCTGAGAAGCTGAAACGAAGCCATTAACGATCTGCGTCTCTCTTCCTCCAGAACATCAGCCTGACATTCATGATTCATACAAGAAGCAAGGAGGGGTTCTTGGGGTTTCTGACTGAACAGTCCTCTGCACATTACGAATCGGGGAAATCGAGTAACTTAAATGCACCGATCAGCGACTGGGTGATGTCGTCATGAGGTAGCCTCCAACAGTTAGTACGAGTACAGCCAAACCTGTGTTAGCGGACACCTCTATAGAACGGTCACCTGTCTATAAAGGACGCTTTCGGCGTTTTGCGTGTGCGACCCTTATACGCAGGTCTGACTGTACAGTTAGTGCGGTGATCCGACTACGTACGCATTGGCTAGTCGTGCGATGCAGCTGGTTCTACGTGCGCGCTACGTTACGTGGCAGCCAGACGACAGAGAGATGCATGCGGCCCCTGCCTCGACACGCACGACCTTCGGCCGACCTTCAAACGACCTCCAGCCGTCCGTCGATCGTCCTTCTGCCGACCTCCGACGACGACGCCTACGCGGCGAGAGGCACTTCACTACGGGTCATGCCGTTAGTATGGACATGCGACGCGGGCATCCACCGCCGCGCGCGCCGATCTATCCCAGCATGCACCACGCCTCGACGGCGGGCTCCGCGCTCACCGTAGTCGCCGAAATTGTACATCAGCGTTGCCCGAAGCTTTTCGTCGCTAGTCATGCGCTTTAGCGCGTCGACTAGCGGCATTTCGATGTAATGAAAGAGGCTGCGCGCGTATGAAAAAAGGAAAAGACATTGAAACGTCGCACACACGATACACGGTCACGTCAATTTGCAACTTGGGCGGGGGGGGGCATACTACAGGTTGTACGTTAATTTTTAATCTACTCCTGATGTTATTTCAGGTTGACTCGGGAAAGACTATGAATTAAAGCAACGAACACAATTACCGACACATTAAGCAACACATGAACTAGGTCGAAATGATAGAGAGCGCTAGTGTGCGATGCGAGTAAACGCCGCGCTCAATAACAACAACATTTCCTGAAAGTGACCCTGCTTTTGGCAAGAAACGTTAGAAACGACAAGCAATAGACACGACGCAGACAGCACGTTTATGCCCGGGTTATTGTAATGTACGTGACAGCAAAACACACAGGCCAGGCATTGCACGCAATTACTGAGCACATTGAATTCACGGAAACTAGTTTGTACAGATAGCATGTATGCTGACATTGCAGACAAGGCCGCAGCATAATCATCAGTATTCAGAGCTTTTTCCGCAACAGCGTCATGCACATACCACGACAACATTCCTATGGTAATGTACATTATATAATTCTCACACCTACACCGCCCCCCCCCCAGTTCTCACTCTACTCCCCGCTCTCCTCTCTCATTCTTCCCCTCACTCACAATATGAACAAATTTAATGGTAAATGGGCTTCTTTATTTCACAGTCTACGATAGGAACCACATATAAACACTGTATCTACACTAATAATATATAAGTCTTGATTGTTTTTGATTGAGCATTTATAAGGTAACATACAATGTAAGTTAAGTATAAAGTTATTGTGTATAAACGTATACCTACATATCAAATTGTATATATCTATATATATATATATATATATCTATATATATATCTATATATATATATATATACGTACAAGTGTATTGTATTGGCTATAACATGTTTGTAACATATCTGGAAATAAAGAAATTACAATAAAACATTCCTATAGTAATGATATAATTCTCACACCTACCCCCTACCCCACTCTCCTCCATGCTCTTCTCTCTCATTCTTTTTCCAGCACTCTATCCCTCTCATACACTCATTTTTAATTTTATTTCTTGTCCGATTTCTCTCCTCCCTCCTAACTGGCTCCTGATCTCACGCCCTCTCCCATTCTCTCTCTCTCTCTCTCTCTCCCCCTCATTCTGTTATTCTCTCTCTCTCTCTCTCTCAGTGCATGTAACAAAATCATAAAAGATTCAAAGTGAGAATGTGTATTTCAAAGCGTTCAAGTTTTATCAGTGCTATTTCATTACCGTCCCACGAGGCCTGCGTGGATTTGCATACGAAAGCAATAGGCCTATGCGGGCTGTACGCCGGACTGGTGCCAGCACAACGCACTGTTCACAAATGCGTGGAATAAAACTTCGATCACACCCTTACATCTACTCACATTTCTCTCTGTGTTCTTCCCCTCTCTCTCTCTCTCTCTCTCTCTCTCTCTCTCTCTCTCTCTCTCTCTCTCTCTCTCTCTCT